GAGAGAGAGAGTGAGAGAGAGAGAGAGAGAGAGAGAGAGAGAGCGCGAGCTTATATTCCAGCCGATTCGACGAGTGAGAACTTTGCCAAATCCGTGTGGGTGGGGGGGTCTATGTCAGCCGAGAGTTCAGTTTAAGTAGCAGCGGCGGCGATTGCGGCGATTGTGGCGGCGGCGGCGGCGGCGGCGGCGGCGGCGGCAACGGCGGCGGCGCGCAGCTATTATACCGTTCGTGAGGGAGACACTATTCGCGCTGCGCTCGGTTCTGGCAGGTTTCTGGCCAAATCGGGTCAACGGGATATGTCGGCTGGGGTCCCAGGCGAGCCAGTCCAACGGCTACGTCGGCCTGCGTGAGGGCATCCGAACCGCGAGGAGGGCTGCTGTCGTCGCTGCACCTTCCCCTGTAAATAATACGCACATCTGAATTATATATACGCACGCGCACGCACACGCACACGCAAACCAACCACCCAATCACCCAACTATCCAACCATCCAACCATCCTCCAACCACCCAACCGCCCAACCACCCACCCGTCGCGCACACGTACACGCACACGCGATACACTCGTACAGGCGGGCACACACAAACCAACCAACCAACAACACGCGCGTGCTGCATGCGTACGTACGTGTTTATGTAAATATATGCATATCCATATTCGTATTCATGTATGCGCGTGTACGTATCCATATATGTATGCGTGTTTATATGTGTGCGCCTATATGTATATTTCTATGCGCGTACGTGCGTGCGCGAGTGTGTGCGAGCGCGCGATCCACGAGAGAGTGTGATGAAACCGTCTGCTAGGAAGGAAAATTGGAACAGCTGTTACTGAAAAATGTGAAAAGCCCGACCGTGTCCGTTTAGGAGGCCGTCCAGCTATTTGCACTCCTTTGAGCAAGGCTTAAGCTCTCTAAGCTCCGTGTTAATGAAGTCTATCTCAGGAACGCACGAAGCTAACTTGAACGGTGTGGCCTGTGATATGGCTGAGAAGCTTGGCCTCAGACCCGGGGTCCGGGAGCTCAAACTCGGGCCAACGTTCACCAGCGACAAGTCCACGGCTTTTCACACCTTGAAATGTAAGGATCATCATTTTTCAGAGCAATGGTCTTAGGCTACATTAGCTTATGTTTATCCAACAGCTGTGATCCATTGTTCTCTCTACGCTAGCACAATTTTCTTGCAGACCCTTATCTCTATCCTCATCTCTTTTACGTATTCATTTATTTATTCGTTTGTCCATTTGTTTATTTATTTATTGGTCTTTTGTTACATTAATGTCTTGCTATTTAGATGATTTCAAACCAGCGAGTGTGGATGTATCAAAAATGGCAACGGTCGACGTTGGAACCAATAACACAATGACAGTAACGGTGCCGCATTTAGACGGTGCTGGTATTCCACACACAGTATTTAAAGGTTCTCAAAGACCGTATCACAAGGAATGTGTTCTTATAATCGATAGAAATACAGGAGAAATCACTTTGGAAAGGTTATCTTCGAATATACAAGTTAAAAAGACGAGGTAAGAGGCTGCTGGATTCCAGTGTGGAATACTTAATTTGTTATTGAGTAGCTATTAAGTATTTGACTTAATAAGCTACGTCGCAAATTAATTATTTACAATGATACATTGTTCGCTCTATGTACAGACCATTGAAGTAATATTCATATTTATGATCTCATTGTCGACTAGGTCAGAGACGAAATCCCAACCTTTTTTATCGATTCCTAATTCAAATCCTGGAATCAGACCTATCACTCCCATTGAAACGAGAAGAAGTCCAACCGACGGAAGAACAAAGAGTAGAACTAAAGTAACTAGTGGAAAGAAAAGGGAGCCCAGTCATCAATTACGTCCTAAGCATAGCCCTCCACGTGCCTCTTATCATGGAAAAAGCCCTCCAACTACGAATTTACCTACCAGTACTAGGTAATTTCAGACACTTGATTATTTATTTTATTTATTTTTTTTTTTCATAATTTCCGAATAATATCGAATGTTTGGATTAGTTAGGAAAATTAACGTTGCTCCAAAACTTGATAGTTTGTTCATATAAATATGTATGTTATTAAGGGTAAGTAATTTATATACACACACACACACACATATATATATATATGTAATTAAGTTATTACATATATAATTATATACCAATATAATTGTAACATTTATAGAAATTTTGAATTTAGAATCAAAAGGTATAAATTTCGTCGAACAACGAACAATGTATTTCCGTATTTAATGTATTGCGTAGATTTTTCAAAAAAAAAAAAAAAAATTCATCTAATGCAAATCATAATATTTGTCCAACTTACTCCGTATGTATTTATTTGAAAATCACTTTGGACTAAGAATCATTATTATATTATAAGTCTGATGTAATTTAATGAACAATTTTCAGTTCTTCGGCCATGCCTTCTTTAATGCAGTCAACATTGGCGAGCCTTCCCATGATAAGCGAACACGACGATTTTAATCTTTCGTCACCTCCAGCTCATTCTACCGTATCTACATCTACATCACATTCGACAGCCCCTCCAAGAACTATTTCCCCAGCTGTGATTGAGAAATCATTCGTTAAAACTCCTATTTTAGATAATGACGTGGGGATTCTAAGTGATTCCAGTACTAGTGGTTCAAGTTCTGATAGTTCTGATAGCGAATCGGAACCAGAAAAAACGATACAACTTCCGAAAATTAATGGTAATTTAAAACAAACGCAATGCCATAACAATAACACGCATGAATTCGTAAATTAAGTTATCTTCAATAATGCTTTGATGGTTAATTTTAGGACATGCGACAAATGGTACGACAATGTCTCCATCGTTATCTATGCCAGACAACTTATTAAATGAAGATTTACAACTCTCAGAATCGGAGTCGGATAGTGATTAATAAATTGATACACATTCCGAAAGACTTGTAAAAAGGATGCCAAGTTTTAGTTTAAACTTAAACAATATTATAATTTGTTCCGTAAATTAACGTAATTTCTTTGCAAATGTCTTTCATAATGGAGTATCTGCTTTTTGCGCAACATTACCGAACGAAAGTAGATCGTTCGAAAATGTTATTTTCTATAGTACTCGTATAGTGATATTTCATTTTGTTTTGTCTGGATCACTTTATGTGTTGTCGAGACGACGTGATGTAAGCCATAACGCTTTCTTTTATAATCTCATGAAAATATATATACAAAGAACTAATTGATTATAAAGGAAAAAGGTGAAAAATGAGAAGAACATATGAGATCTTTTCAAACTGCACGATATGTACTTTAGTTTTTATTGCAATAATGAATGAACGACAGCTTGTTTCTTCCTTGTTAAATAAGGGTGTCGTGATAAGGAAACAATTGGCGAATATGCCAGAAAGTGTATAGGGTAATAGGGCTTTTATAATGATTAATTGTTATTTTAAATTCATATGCTACGTTCTTGAGTGAGCCGAGCCTTTAAAACGAGAGATAAAGGTTTAGCCATTTTGTCATGTTCATATTTCGTTTGCTGGGTACTTGTTTAAAATAGTTTAACCCAAAAAAAAAAAAATCTGAAAAAGTATTTTTATACACTTTATTTTCTAAAAAAAAAAAAAAAAAAAAATAGAAGTAATATGAGACTTAAATAAACATAAGAGAAAGTTTTGTTTCTTGAGTAATTTATATTAAGTAGGAAGTGGTTTATTAAATTTGTCATTACTTTTGTGCCTTTATGTCAATCTTTATAACTAATTTTAATGTGAAGTTTTGTAAATAGAATAATAATTATATTTACAATCTTGCAATAAAATTGTTCCATTAAGAGCCTGTATGTATATATATAACTCTTTAGTAAATTATTTCTTTTACTGAAGTTGTTAATAAATTTATAAGTTAATTCGTATGTTTGGTTATATATATATATGTTTTTTTTTTTTTTTTTGTTTTTTTTGTTTTGATAATATAGTTTCATCGGGTAGATAATAAGCAGATATTCAAAAAGATGTGTGGGCTACGAGTATTTGAGAATTGAAATTAAAGCTTTGGTATACACCTGTGAATGTACAGATTAGTTTTAAATTAAATTCTCAAAGAGTTTTATTAGATAAGTATTTACATTAAACTATTTTCAGGAGATACCCAGCTCTTGTATATTATATTTTAACAGGAACTTGATTATTTATTTATCTTATCACAATATAATTTGGTTCTTTTTATATAATATAAAAATCAAGGATATATTTTTGATTAATGATGTTCTTTATAGTCCAATATCAGTCTTGTTAGTTGACCACGATTTCCCAGTTGAAGATTTCTTTGCTTTAAGCATGTACTAAGAGTAATGTTATTCCTTGTGCCAATACAATCAATTTTTCTGTATCGAAGCTTTAAGGCTGGTTCAACAGCACGGAATGGATTTAAATTGCTGAAGACAACGAACATTTCGAAAATTGAGCCAATAGATATAGTTTTTGATAATTTTAATATATTAGCGATATCTTTGTCAGTTCGTACTAGAGGTACTTGATTTTCTATAGATTTTCGCACTGAAATGTACAAATTATAAATTTTTTAAACCTAAAATTTACAAAAGTAATATAAATTTTTATAATAATTTTTATATTTAAATACCTGTCATGTAATCTTTTACATAAAAAGATACAGAATCGTAATTATATTCATCATAACGCCCGTGACTATGAATAATATCAAAATCAACGTGTTTAGTTTTCTCATCGTAATAAATTATATCTGGATGATATTGTATAAATGGAATTGGACTAAAAACTTGCCATTGGCTAATAGTGTTCATGCGTACCTGTACAAAATTAAACATTTAAAAATGTTAAAATTATAGAATTATTAAATTTATAAACATTAAAGGAAATGTCTTAAAATTATTTTCGTTAATTAATGCAACGCTCTATACAGCATTTCACAAAACATTTCACAAAAACTGCTTACTCTATTTAAATATTCGGATTTTATTTCCATTCTAGTATCTGCGAATAGTATCAAATTATCGGAAGAAAACTTTTTAACATACAAATCTGCAATAGCAAGTTTAAATAGCGGTTCTATCTCTATCAGACTGGAAATAGTGGGCAGCCGAATTGAGAGCCAAGTTACTTTTAATTGATCTTTCTTATATTTTTCAGTCAAAAACAATGCTCTCTGCTTAATTTCATAATAAATATCGTCATCTCCTTTCGATGCATAGCCAGGATTGTATAAGAAAACCTGAAAATTTAATGTACATTTTTTAATGTTTATAAGAATAAAATAATTTTGATTAGAATGTTTAAGGTATTATTTAAACGCTTACTATTGTGAGTAAAATTTTGTCCTTTTTATCCATGCATGTATCAGCATAATGCGCTAGAAATTTTAGAACTTCTTCCTTCTTTTGTAAGTCAACTGTTACGATCATGTTTATTCGTGAATTTTCTGTAACATATGGAACGGGTAATATTTCAACTTTTCCCAAAGGCTTGCAAACTTCTATCCTCTTGTTGATTTCTATTCCTGAATCAGTAACAAAACTAAGATCGAGCAGATAATCAACTCCTCTGGATGAATCATATTTCCAATAACCATTATGCAGTTTCTTAAATTTTAATGTTCTATCAGACTTTTTTATAACTCTTTCTATCGTTGCATTTACAATGTAATCGACATCTTCCTTTTGATTACTATCTAATTCTTTTATAGTGTCGAAATCATTATAAAAGAAAACATGAGTCATATTGAAATAAGTCCATCTTAAAATGTCAAAACGATTCAATGCTTTATTTCCTGGTTGGCTACCGATGGGCCAGCTTAAGTCCTTTTGGTTTTTGGGGGTAAAATTCGAAGTCTTTCTTATTTCCTCGCGAATATATTCAATTTCCTTTTGAACCTTTACCAATTCAACCTGAAAGAAATTCAATATTAAATTGATTCGCACTTATAAAATTACGACAATAGTGATATTACAAAATATTTCTTTAAATATCCATACGAAGAAGCATACCTCTGCAAAATATGTATTCATTTTATAAATGACTGAATGATCGTATATAGGATACACAGTCGCAGAGTTCTGAAAATCTTCTTGTAAAGAGAGCTCTCTAAAATTATTTTCATAATTAAAAGTTACATTTAACTTTATCGATAAAAACAGTTCTTCTTGAACATTATTCGAACATGGAATTGACGTAGAGTGCATTATGCATCGTCCAAAATTAACATCATCGGAAGATGAAAATGTGATCTTAACGCACCAATCTAAATTATTTTTCAAATTTCTGATTATAGAATTACTTAATAATATACCACCATCTGTAAGAAAATATTTCACTTATTTTTAAAATTACTCAAAATTAGAACTTTCTTTCTTTCATTCTTGTTTTTCTTTAACATATTTATTAGTCAATTTTTTTACTAATTTGGCTAGAACCCTGTTCAGCTTATTTTGACCATTAAAAATGGTAGTAATAAAAAATACTTCTTTTCTAATTTGAACTATAAATTATCCTTGTACAGTTTAATAAATTCCAGTATAATTACTCTAATGAAAAAATAATGTAAATTATAATGTGATAATATATTATTACTACATCACATTATTTAGGATTCACAAATCTATGTAATAATTTCCATTGCTATTTATTGAAGTTATTATTATTATTATTATTATTATTATTATTATTATTATTATTATTATTATAGGAGTTAAGAATTAATATATCGATGATAAATGTTGAAAGACTGGAGATATATATATATATATATATATATATATATATATAAATATTATGTGTTTATACAATATAAAGTTTTTGTATAAATTATCATTTGTAGAATTTGAATAATTATAAAATTTTCAAATAAAATAAATAAATTAAAAAGAAAAATTACTACCCTTTTTATAATTTCCTTTTAAAACTTGATTATTAATGTAACTATATCTTACCTAACGAGCAATACTTATCATCCTCACTAATCATTCCAAGATGAACATCTTGGCTTACACTAATTTTATTAGCTATGTCAATTAATCTTCTTGCATTAATATAACTAGTATCTTTAATTAAGAAGTAAAAATCATAATCCTCTAAATAATTGTCAATTATATACTTTAGTGCATGAAATGGTTGTAAAATACTTCTGGTATCTGTAAAACCGACAATGCCTGGCAACGATACATTTGGTTTTGTTCCTTCTGGTATGGAAATGAAATATCGCACTTTATCAACTAAATGTGATATAGTTTTATTTGAAGCGATTGCTCGACTATGCAGGTACTCTGGGCTTGTTAATATACCAACAAATATCTTGTCACGAATGCCAAGTTCTGTTGAATAATATCTAGGACGAACAAATACTTTGGGAATCTTCTTGGCTTTCTGTGGCTTAGCCTCAACGTTTATTTTTGGCTCGTATTCATCGATTACTTCGTTGTTACTTATAGAATATGGCAGAGAATCTTCTAAGTCTTGATAGTCATTAATTTCAATGGGAGCAAATAGTAAACTTATACTAAGTCCTACACAGATTCCAATAATCAAATAAAGATTGCTTCGACAATGTGCAAATAAAATGTTGATAATAGGACTCATCTTTATGGTGCTAACTTTTAAATAGTTTTTATTATATAAAGAATTCGTTTTCACAAATTACAAATATTTACAAAAACTTAATTGTAAAACAAAAAAAAAAATTGTATAACAACAATTGACTAAAAAATACCATGTTATACGATTTTACATATATATTACGACATTAACATAAAAATAAATTTAAAAAAGCTTAACATCAAAAATTAACCCATGTAATCAACTTCTTAGCAATCAACCACACTGCTTCAACTTTATAAAAGTATATGTGATATGTACCTATCAGCTGTGTTTACACCAAACCTCAATATATATATATGTGCGCATGCATACGCATATGTATAACACCACATATGCATATTGCTATTGCACATATGTATATATATATATATATATAGTAGCGTAGTGCCATGCATACTAACCATCGTTACCATCTGCACTCTATAGTTCGTGATAAGTGAGCTTTTATCGTGTGATTCAAACACGCAGAAATATCTTTTATTAGCTAACTATCAATTGTTTAAAAAATGTGGAAAAATAAGGAAAATAAGGAGAAAAAAAAATAGAAAAATGTACTTGCATAAGTATTCGATTAAAATTTTACTCATATAAATCACATTTTATGAAATTTTAATAAAACAAATAACTGAATAACGTGAGAAATTGCAGTATTAACTATTCTGTACAATAAATAATAATAACAACAAATGCGTATTATAGCTTCAGATCGAAAAGATTGTATAATTTCTGTACTTCCTTGAAGTTGTAATTCCTCTCTATTTGCTGTGCAAAGAACTAATGTAAATTATAACTTAGATAATTATAAATATTAAAGACTCGAATATTAAAAGTTTTCTGAGTTATTTTTTTCTTTATGTACTTTATGTAAATGTATTATTTTCATGGATAAAAATTATTGACACACACGTGTGGACATAAGAACATTAAATTATTATTGTTAGGTATCGTAAATTTACCAGATATTCCAAATATTCTGGATATACTTATGCAAAAGAATTATTTTATTTAGTGTTAATTTTATTAATTATTAATTTGCTTATTATATAAATTAATTGTAAAATTTGAACGAATAATCTATTTTAACACTTTATAAACTTTATAAATTATTATATGTTTATCAACTAAACTAAATTTTGTATTATTAAAATAATTTTCACATTGTTTGATTTCCCCATCTAATATAATATTTTACTTTCAATAGTTTATAAAATAAATCAATTATTGAACATATAATAAATTTTCTCATAATTTTAATTTCAATTTCATTAAAATGACTGATTTTAGGAATATACCATAAAACGCTAAAAGTAACATTCAGCCAATTAAATTAATTATAATACAAAATTCCAAATACGGATAAAATAACATCAATTTAAAATACGTAATTTGAAAAATTACTCACTTACGTAATATAATCACAGCGAATCCGCATTTAGTAATTCGTATGTACCTTAAAATAATTTCAATTTAACTCGTATTGAAGATTCAATGATAATATATTGTCAAAGTTTATGAAAGTATTATATCTATTTATTTTATAAATTAAATTGAAGAAAGTGATAAAATGTGATTTCATTGTTGCTTCACCGTTGTTGTATAAAAAAATATAAAACTTATAATCGATCGTAATAATGTTTAATGTATAATAATTTCAACGATGTTTAATGAAATTGTTTTAAACTCAAATGGTGTTTTAAGCTCAAATATTTAAATTACGTGACTGTAATATTATATTCCAGTTATTAGTAAAAGTTATCATAAAGATTTATATAATTTACTGAAAATAGATTCGATGGATCAAACCATTGAAAAATATATCAAAAATATATTTATAAATTCTTCACCAACTACTTTTATTTCAGCTTATATGTCGGCTTTATTCAAAATTTATTGTTTTTAAAAACTTTTATTGTTGCAAAGAATACGATGCTCATTTTTAACAAAAAATATATAATAAAGAATTTTTTACAAACCCAACGTTATTAATTTTAAAAACTAAAAAGGTAGAAAGAAACAGATTTGAAACACAAAGGAAAATTACGTGTAAAATAATTAAATTATATGAGGAAAACAAATTTGAAGCTAAAATTTTAATGTTTAATGTCTAAGCGAATAAAAATGATAGTGTAAAATGAAAAAAAAAATCATAGTCATCGAAATTTCATTTACGAATTAAATTATAAAACAAAACAAAAAAAAATCATAATAAATTTAATTTTAATTAAAAATACTTAAAACTTAAACTTGTAATTTCATATATTAAAAAAAATTGTTTTTAATAATATGAACTTCAATGTTATAAATTCAATAATAAAATATTATACTTTTATAAAACTAAAAAACAATAATAAAAATATTCCTAATAATAAAATGATAACAAATACAATATAAAATATTATATTTAAAATTCTATTTCATATTTTTTCTTATATTAAATTACAAATGTTTAATAATGTTTTATTACATTTTAGTAGTGTTTTCTTTTACATGATTATCTACATTTTATTTCATTGATTTTAATATTATACATTATAAATTTATAATTATATTGTTTCAGGCTAACATTTGATATACACATCTAGCGGCTATTAAAATCAATTATAAACATTTTTTTCCTTTATGCTTTTGTAAAAATTTTCAATTCTTTCGAAGCAAGTGATAAACACGATATTTTTAATAACAATTGAATAAATATATATATATATATATAATTAATTTTTTCTAAATTCTATCTTATATGTTGGTAAATTTTTTTAAATCAATATTTTGTTTAAAATAACAATGCTGGGATAGAGCGCAATGAGTTATTCATTATTTATATTAACTAAGTATTAGATAGTTTTTTTTTTTTTTTTTTTTTTTTTTGAATTACGTTTTGTTTCTAAATTATAAATTAATATTTTACTAGAAGATATTTTGAAAAATATATACTATTAGGTTCGATATTAAGACAAAGCGTAAACACATGTATTATTAAATAGGATTTTTAAAACTAAAATTTCTATTTCGAATCTCATCCAAGCTGAAAATATTGACTTATAATACATTCAATGAAAATAAGGGCATGTCGTCGTAAATAAAAAAATTTCAGCCCTTAGCGACTCTCTCTCTCTCTCTCTCTCTCTCTTAACTTTTTCGTTCTGCTTCTTCTTCTCTATATAAATTCAGAAAGGTATATTTCTAAACAGCGAGGCAAACGTGAAAAATGTGTAATATATTTTCCAAAAATTCGTATATTAAGATATACATTTTATTCTATTAAATAAAAATTAATTATTAATTACAGAACGTTGAAAGAATTTAAGAGGATAGTATTATTTTAATTGGATTCGTTTTTTTTTTGTCTTTTTTTGCGAAATTTTTGTCTTAAATCTTGCTTCGTTTTCAAATAAATAAATTTTTATTAATTCTTTAGTGGATTGTGTCATTAATTGAAAAATTTCAACTTCTTGCTTTTCTTTGCTTTTATATTTTAATTACTACGCATTTATTAACAAAAACTAACGGACAGGTGCAATCAATTAAGCAAATTTAAATATAATCATTTAGTTAAAAATGTCCAAATAACGCGTTTGCTTATAATGAAACAAATTTTTGTGAATAAAATTTCTTATAAGAATCGACTTATTTTGTAATAAATAAATAAATAAATTCTTTTATTCACAATAATTAGAACGATTGTATTAAATTTTATCTCAAAATAAAAGTAAGGTATTTATTAGTAAGATAAAGAGATTGAGAGTATATCATATCGTAAATATAATATTTATTTTCGTATTCCTACATCAATTTATATTTATAATCAACTTACGTTGTAATACATAACGTAAATTTAAATTAATTACAATTGAGCTGGTTAAATAAGAAATAAATATTAAATCACTGAAGCTAGGATCAACGGATGATCGCACCGTCACCATTTATTGCATTAATATAATTTGCCAAAAATGGATAATTATAAACCAGGTGTAGATGCATGCAGCTCCTTGTGATTTGATCATTAGTTTTTAAGTCAATACTTGTATCCGATATAACGTAAGTACAACGATTCGTCTATTTTCCTTAATTGATTGCATAATCCTAACGTTACTTTTATTCCACTGGTTGATTAATGCGCAAAATGATAAATGCTGGTCAACGAGTGAAATTTTCTGGTTAATGTCTCCGTTCACATATCTCGGCTTTTTGAGCTTTGATTTTCGTAGCTCATCAACGATTATAAATATGTTTATATTACTGATAGCTATAAGCTTGTATTATTAAAATAATGATACATGAAAATGTAAAACGTTTGTATTCTATAAATAATATATTGAATTGCTTCATAAATCTACATAACGTAGCTTCATCTTCAGGTAGATAATGTCATAGATAATTTGTGTATAAAGAGTTTGTTGTATAATCAGCGATCTATTCGAGCAAGTCGTTCAAATTTCATTTTACCCGAATTGGAATTTTACCCAAGTTGATTTTCTTTTCTTTGGATCAAGTCGTTTTTACAAGTACATAAATCTTTGAAGATCCTTTCGGCATTAATCAGTACTTACATATATTATTAATCAAATACAATTATATATTTTATGTTATTGGGCTTGAAATTACAATCTGTCCTTTTCGTTCGTCCTGCCCGTTCCTAATAGGGTTCCCTCCATTTTAAAATGCGATTACATTTATTCGGTAATTCAATAAAATTCTTTAATATTATTTATAAAGCTATTGTAAATTATAAATTATATCTTTATGATATTATTCCACTATGCTAGTGAATTAGTATGTTAGATTTGTAGGAATCAAACGTTTTAAATTTGATTTATTAAAAATAGCCTTTTATACTTCCTCATAATATTTCTAATGATATTTCAATATTATAAAATTCTTTTAAAAACTTTATTCAATGTAACCAATTTAATTTATAACAAAATGCATACTTTCCATTTTTTACGTAGCGAGCAATAAATTACTATTAGTTATAAATTTTTTATATTTTGGAATGAAATTTAATATTTCCATAAATATGAATAGAGTACGATCCAACAAAATTGTTATCACATTT